TCACTCACTTACATATTTTAGAGTCCTTTCAAACCAATCGGCCGGGATGTGATTGGAAAATCAACGTGCGAGCGCGGCAGTCATTGATCCATTCGACGGTTGATTGTCTCTGAGGAATTCTTGTGTTTCATTTGACGGCAGCCGACACTGACTAGTTTTCTGAATTTCGTGTCTCATATTGATGACTCGCGCTGCTGTCACTTTCGGGTCAGTCACTGACTGTCAAATTCAATGTCAATGTCTTCTTCATAATTGTGTAATAATATTTGACTAATTTCACGACACTGACCCCAACGACTACTACACAGTCACACGCAACACACTGTCACGCCGTTGCCTTGATTCACTCCGACTCCTCGCCCGGAAAATGTCGTCGCTGTCATTGCCCGTTTCTGCCCACAAGCGTCGGCGCTGTTCAGCTCCCTCCGTGACTTCTGCGGCTACTGCGTCTTCCGCTTGCAGCGAAATTCACAAAGCGGCCAACTCGAGATTTCTGTCTGAAGCCGAAGACAATCTCAACTATGTGATGTCGCGCCTTGTCGTCAATTCAGTGAAGATTTATCGCTGCCTTCCATTTCAGGACGGAATAGGCCCTGTGTCATTGTCATTGCAGCTTCAATCAAGACTGACTGACTGACTCAGACGAGGCATGAGGCATTTACTGGGTTGGCTTCACTTCCGCCCACGAACAAGCACATCCAGGCCGTTGATGTGAGATCCCTATTGGCCTTGAACAGCACGTCCCAAAATTCTTTTACTGGAGGAGGGAACGTTGGCTGGATTTCAATGAGCTGGAGTCCGCACAGTGTTCCGGCGTTGCGGAACAGCGTCAAGTACCTTGCAGGTGGCAAGTACGCAAAGCCACGGCCATTGGTGTGCGATGTCCTATTGGAAGAGGACTTGGAAGCCAAGATGGTCAATGGCTTGCTGAAGAGGCTCTCACCTGAGGAGGACCATGCGGCCTTTGTCCTTGCAACACGCCGAGACCTTGAAGCGGATGAGAACGTTGATGAGTCATGGTCGCCATTTTTTTTACAATGATCATCTTTCTATTTTTGATGTTCAGTTAAGCCATTTGTCACCCTTATTGCCTCGCTGTCACTTGCACAGTCACTGTCACTGAGGAATGGTTGTCCTGCTGGCTCTCAAGCACCATGACGTTCCACAAGGTTGCTGCGGACGCCGACGCCGCTACTGGGGCCAAGCTGTTCTTTGCGTCAGCGGCTATCCGTGAAAAAGTTGGAGGCGACTATGAGGCCATGTACTATGGTTGTGTGGCTTGACTTTAAAATTGATCGGCGTTTCAGCATTGATTGTCGACTCAGCCGTCACGCCGTTGGACACGGCAGTTGAACAATGATAATGATCAATGGCAATGATTCGCGAATAACAATTGTTATGTTGAGTTGAGTTTAAAACTGCCATTTAAGGTCCAGCGCGTCTTCCAAGTGATGGCTTTCAAAGACCTTGCTGAAAGCCAGCATGGCAATAAGTTGAAGGCTGCCGATCTCCTAAAGTATTGGCAGGCCAACTTGACAATCACGTCGGGCGAAGAGATCTCACTAAGCTTTTTGGAGTCCGTCTTGACCACATGGAACTGTGTGATGAAGCACCAGATCTTGCGTGATTCTTGGCTAAAATATGAACGCAATTCAAAATTTGCATGCCGTCGGTCATTGACTATTTCCGCACAGACGATTTTCCAAAAGACAACGACTGGCACTGGCAGGAGATGGTCCTACTTGGAGAAGAGATGCTGGGGAAACAATCCCCGTTGAACAAGATCAGCAAATTTGATGCCCAGCTGCAACAATCGATTAGTAGGGTATGCTGCGCTAATGATTTGACTTGCAGCTTTAATTATGCAATGACGAGGAGGGCCTTATCCGCGTTGCAAAGTCGGACCCCGATGCCATCCAGTGGATCCTGAGTTCCATGTATGACAGTTTGGTGAACCAGCAGTACCAACCCGACTTGATGACAGTCAGCTGGCTTGTTGGGGAGCGCGGCAGAGCACGAAGCGGGACTGTCTTTGCACTGGTGTGAGTTATTCATGTTTGTAACGAATTATGTCATTGACATGTTTGCTTTGATTGTCATTGAGTTTAATGTTTCAATTTTGCCAGATGTCGTCGGTCTTATGCCAGGATGTATGCTGTGTGGATGTGGAAGCGAGACAACCGTGCCAAACTGTTTGGACGGCTTGATCAGGTGTTGCCCAGAGAAGACATGATCATTTTGAGGCTCCTAGTCACCTTTAAACAAATCGTTTGAGGGCGGCGTTCAACGACTTTAAGTATTGAAAAAATAATTGGATGCTGTTGTCGTCGTGTGCTTTTTCTTGTTTCCCGCTCATAGCTCTGGCAGGGATGCTCTCAAAGACCACGTGAGTCGGAGGCAGAAATTTGGTGGCTTTGAATTTTCCAAACAGCTTGTTGGCCACCCAACTGCAAAGAAAGCTTCAGTCCTTGACAACAATTATTGCTCTATAATGTTTTAATTGTTCATTGTCAGCGACGAAAACCATGACGACATGTTCAGAGTTTGTCAATTGAATGTCTTAGAAGGCCATAGGAAACGACAATGAGCTGCTTGCCTTGAGGCCCTGACCCGAACGCTGCCAAGCATGAGTCGGACTTGTCGTGGATGTCGGCCCTGACATCAAGCGATAGCGCCACGGTGGGCCGATTCCTGGAAAAGATCTTGTATGGAAAGGACGTGGACCCACAAATCAAGAATGCTCTTCGCTGGGGATCAGATGTCAACGACATTCTCAGCAATGAGGATGTGAAAAAGATCTTTGACATGGAGAAGTTTGAAGCAGACATCGCAAAGCAAAAGAGCGATGCAATCAAGACGAAGGAGGGTGATGGGAAAGACGAAACGGGTGCTGCTGAGTCTGCGAAGCTGGTCAGTGCGGTGACACTGGTTGGAGGAGACAAGGTTGATGCAGAAAAGCTGGTCAATGACATGGAGCAAAGCGATTTGGAATTCCTCACCGACGCATTCAATGATGCTTGCAAGTTGGCAACATCGATGGTCTTGCCAATTGATTCCTCTGTGAGCATGCCTGCGCTATCCAAACTGCTTCGTCACTCCAACCTGGGCAAAACGGAGGGAACTGAGACCAAGAGCGTGCTCTACTGGGTCGATTCAGAAGCAATGGGGGAAGCCATGAAGAACGCGAGGCGGTCGCCATGTCCTTTCGACAGGCCTACTTTCGACAAGCTCATCCAGGCTATGATCCTGATGCGAGCCACTGAAGATCCGGATATGTCAGACCCTTCAGCGCTGGTCCTTCCAGAGCCCCATCCATCTGACGTGCACCTTGTCTAATTCAATAAACTATGGTTCAGTCAATGTTTTTTGGCTTCAGTCCAAGTCAGTGACAGTCGTGTGGTCTCGTTATGTCATTGACAGTCAGTGACTGTTGCTGAGTCACTATGGCCAGTGGGTCACGCACTTGCTGGCTGAGGTTCCTCTTCTCAGATGGTGGGCGCGAAGCCTTGCAGGTGCATTTCCGCAACGTCATGAAGGAGTGTGGGTGCCAAGTGAGCACCTTGCACGTGATCTACAGTGAGAACTCACTTCGCGAGCACCGCAAGGCACGATCGCCATCGGGACAGATCCTGGACCGCTCCGTCTCTTGACACTTATTGAATATTTTTTGACCACGTCATTTTGAGTTTTTTATTAGACCAATATTTTGACATTGACGGCTAAGTTAGCCGAGGAGTCAAAGTTCACAGTCGCAGATGCATTGATAGTCCAAACAAAGCCCATATGCAGAACAAATCGTTCAGGGACTAAAGCGGTGGGAAATCAGAAAGACCAACACTCGCAAGCGCCACAGAATTGGTATCATCAAGTCCGGGTCGTCCACTGTCATAGGAGAAGTTGACGTTGTCCGTTCTTTTCAAGCCGACCGTCAAACACTTGATGCGTCAATTGACAAGCACTGTTGCAGTGACTTGCAACCATACCTGACAAAGAATGCTGCTGGTGGGGCTACTGTCGCCTGGGTGTGGGTATTGGCGAATGCGCACGAATACAAATCTCCAAAGCCGTATCACCACCCTGGAGGGGCTCAGTGCTGGGTAAAGTTGCAGAGCGCGCGAGCGGCCAATGAAACAACTGATGACGCTAAGCTAATTATTTATTGATTTAACTTAAAATTATATAAATTGTGATTGTCGTTGTCAAGAGTCACACATTGAACAAAGTTTGGTTTGAACTGATTGAGCTCAAACCCGCAGTTTTCATTACGCCGCCTTCGAGGTCCACAATCTCAAGCAGAAGGAGACGTTCCTTATTGGCACTGCATGCCCGACAAGGTTGGTCAGCATTGTTGGCCGACGCGACAATGCTGTCTATGAAGGATCCACGTCCGGCGATTGCCTGTATGGTGTTAGCAAATGCACCTATGAAGGGTGTCCACGGCTTGGGCCGATGGACAAGAGGACGCTCTTGGCAGATCGGCGTTTCAAAGACGCCCGTGACAAGGATGCCGCAAGCCGCGATGGTGCCGGCGACGAACCCATGAGCTGGGATGCAAGGTCCGCGCCTTTGATAAGGAGATCTTGCACCACTTCAGGCCGAAGGTGCTCATAATCTCAGCTCTCTGTCCCAGCCTGGCAGCGGTCACCATGAACGCCGAGGTCCCGATCATGGCTCTGTGAAACTTGGTTTAAATCAGTGTGATGTCAGGTTCCAGGCCAGGCTCAAAGTCAGCAGCGGTCAGCCACAAGGTCAGGGTGAGAGTCAGCAGCGGTCAGTGAGTCAAAGTCAGAGTCAGCAAGATTGAATATAGTAATTGTCAAAGTCAGTGTAGGGGTCAGTGACTGTCAGTTTGTAATAGTTAGTCAAAGTCAGAGTCAGCAGCGGTCAGTCAATGTCAGAATATAGTCATTTAATGTTAGTGACTGTCAGTGACAAGTCAAAATTATGTGTCATCGTCGTCGCTGACAATTGGTTTGCTGAGATCTACCCGTCGGTCTGAGGCACTTCGGCCAAGCATGCCCAATGGTTCATGAAGGAGTCACAGAAGCTGCTCTTCAAGATGATGGCAGATCCCAACTCCAAGCACTTCAAGTCAAAAGTCCTGGCGCTTGTCAGCGGCGGGGAATCGGGCGAAGATCCTGGTCGTGGGCGTGGCAGGGGAGGACGCGGCGGACGTGGCCGTGGGGGGCGTGGCGGCAGACGCGGCGGTGGTCGCAATCGAGGTCGCGGCGGCAGTCGAGGTCGAGGTCGGGAGCCCAGATCTGTCTGACTCGGACGAAGTGATTTAATTTTAAATCGTCATTCTTTTAACTAAAATTTAATCCACGATTTTGACTCCACGATGAGGCGGTGATGGTCCTGAGAATAATGACGATAATGGGCCTGAAGACAAAGATGATGGTGAGGCGGGGCCATTATCTTTTTGGCTGTAGCGCTGAGTTTGTTGACGAGAAACGCCCTGCCATTTGCATGTTTTTTAATGACTTTAGCTGTCAAATTTGCTGAGGACGACGGCGGCAATGATGAGACAGAAGAAGAGGAAAACTCCGAGTGAGTGAATGCGTGAGCTGCGCTGAGATGCGGCGTGTTGGTCACTGACCGTTTTTTAATGATGGACAGGTCGAGTCAGTGTCATTTCTCCTGTGGACCGGCACACGGCCAAAAGCTTGATTCTACCATCGCCAGACCGATGAACAGTTGGATAGACTCTGATGAAATAACTACTGTTACTGTTGATGGTTCCTAATTTAAATGCAACCTTGATTCGGCGAAAGAGCGAGCTTTGTCGTGACTGAATGAGCCTGCGTCTCAATGCAACGCAAGTCAGTCTTGCCCTTTTTGACGCGTTTGGCTGGGCTGATGGGGCCTGGCAATGACATGGCAGGTGACAAAATCATTGTTCCAAATGTTTCATCACTGTCCTCGTGGTTGTAATTGGTCAAGAATCAGTGACTGTCAGTGTGTCAGTCAGTACTGGAAATTCTGAAGGGTTTTCACGATCACCTTCTCAACTCAACGGGCCTGACAGGCCCACGGCTACTACCAGCAACCTCCCGGCAGCCTACTGTGCTACAGTTTCCTTTCGGCAGCCTCCCGGACTCGGATTCAAACTCAGGTTTAAGAATCGTTTGTCGTCTCTGTCATTGGTTCCTTCAACTGCTTAGGTGGCGCAGCAAGTAACAAGGCAAGTTTGACCACGCACCCTTGAACTTGTCTTTAATGGGCTTTTCAAGTTGGCCAGGATCGCGGCGTTGCTGATAATGATCATGATGATGCTGACGACTGGGACCCAAACGATGATCTTCAATAGCATGGTCGGCCGGGGCCAGAGCTTTCATTTTTTGATTGACAATTAGCTTACACCAATCCAGTGACAGAATGAGCTGATGGCAACCCTGACATCATTGTGACACTTTTAAAATCATTGTAACGACGTCCAGTCATTGATGTCACTGAACACTCTATTATTTCTATCAGGCTTCTGCAACGCCGCTCTCAAAATCCAGGCTTTGGCCTTGGTCGGTGTTTCAACACAATTTTTGATCAAGTGCAAAATTCAATTAAATGCATCATGATGTCATTGACAGTGATGTGTGGCTCAGCCAGTGTCAGTCATTGTCAGTCATTGACCCCGAATCACATCAAATCACGTCGGCGCTGCTGTCTCTTGTTGGTGCAGTTGTTGCTGCAACTATGGCTGCACAACTGCTGC